TCCACATCATTTCCACTACTTTCATGTTTTGATTGGAATTTCCATCTTTTCCGGAATCTATACAGCAAGGAATATTGCGTGTTTACCATAGACAACAATTCACAGAAGTATTCTCCCAATAAGCAATGCTGTATCGATTAACAATACTGATTACCCTTTTCATACAATACTCTACCGTATATCTACAGGTTTCTCTGATCTGCTCGAAAAGGAGTTTTTACTCTATGCTACAACTTGGTAAACGGTTAATGGGAGTCAATGGCAGTCAATATAATTATGAAACCAATAATAAAACAACGCCAGTGAAGAATAAAACGTTTTGGTTGAGCTTGACAACTGAAGGAAGTGAGAGACGGTCACAAGCTGAATTCTGTTCCTCCCCCTTCTCGCGTTAAAAAAGACGAATAACTTGTAACAGAGAAAAAAAGTGTTTGAGTTCCAGTTTTTATTCATGTCATATTTTTCTCCTCACTCCTATAATGAACACTTTCCCTGTCCTGCTCCGCCCCCGCCCCTCCTCACCTCACCTCACCTCACCTGCACAAATGTTTCTTCATGCTTCCCAGATCAGTGCAGATGTCGGTGCGTTTACCGACACCATTCAAGCGTGTCATCGAGTGATAGAACTACGTGGTAAATATAATGACGATCAAGTGATGGGTGTGCTCTGTAAAGCGGTTCTGGACGATGTTCCAGATGATCGCGGTCGACCAGCCTCAGCTTTACGAACCAAGGTGCTCGAATTGTTCGGTCGTGTCACTGCAGTTGTAAGTCAATTTTGAGTGACTCTGTGGTGGCGGAGGGGGGGGAGTATATATTTGAATGAGTTAATCAGTGAGCGTGTATAAGCAGTGTTTATCTTTCCATTTTGAGAATCAGTGGTTTCTTCTTCCGTTCTTTTTTTTAGGTAGTCATCTGTTAGAGCCACAAGATCCACTCTGAAAGTTTTCTCCTCTCATGTATAGGCTCCTCAATGCAGCTACAAGATACTCTGTTATGAATTCTCAATTAATCCAATCATTAACCGTGCATGTGGCTGATAGTTGCGTCCACATGATCGTCTCCCACGACGGTTGATGTACACCATTCTGTTGTGAGCAAGCGATTGGCACGTCTAGTCCGATTGTTATGCTTGACCACAGTCTATCTATGAGAACCCCGTCTATAATCTGCCACATCCAACAGCATCACTATCAGATGATGTGTGTGTGTGTGTGTGTGTATTCCAATTCCCTCCGCGATTACCCGGTTCGTTTCCGTCATGTGAGTGCGCGCGCACTACATGAGATACCACTTCGTGAAATTGTGAACTAAATTATTCCGAATCTGTCACGTCATCGTGACCCAAACCTTTGAAAGCATTAACGCGAATGATGCAAGATTCAATTAGTAAAGTGTATTGAAAACCAATTACTTAGCTAGCTCTAGCATCACTGGACAAAGAAACATCCCCAATTTATCCGTGAATCTGCGTCAACAGTACATCCTGATCATATTCACCTGTTAAATGTGTACTTCGCTATGTTCTGTTTGTGAGAACTCTCACCGAAAATGTCTAGCAGGAATTTAACGGGTTTACTGTGTAGCCTAGTTCAACTCTACGGAATGTGGTATTATTGCAGGTGTGCCCCGATCAGGGTACGAGAGATCTGGCGTTTAACTTCGATTTGGTTGCACTCTTGACTGTGCTTCGGACTTTCGTCCGCAATCATCCTGAGATCTGTTACTTTTTCATTTGTGTGTAGTGGTGTCCGCGTTCACGTAATACGCCCCTCATTCACTTTCACTCCATGTGTAGACGCCCACAAATGCCGAGATTTGGACACATTATGCCAATCTGTTGCTCGGCGAGAAGCCACGTTTGAAAGTGGTCAACTATCAGCGGGTAAGTGTGATTTTTGTTTTGGCGTGTTATCTGACCCTGTCTGAATGTCTTTCCCCGCTTGACCACACTGAAATCATTCTATGGTTTGTTTTGGTGTGACTTTTTTCTGGCCTACTCTCTTTCTCTCTATCTCTCTATCTCTTAGCTAAGCATTTTGAATGATCATCAAAGGTTTCTTTCACGGACTAATGCACATTGTTCACTCTGTATAAGAGTAACGGTTCGGAATATATGCCTACTCTGTACAACTCCTCCCCCGGTATTCAGTTTCTGGATCCATTAGGGAGTGGGAAGGAGACAGTGTATAAACGGGTCGGACTCATTCAAAATTCAACCCTGCGCGAAACTTACTGGATCTGGAGATGATCCACTCCACTCATTGCGGTTTGGCTTACTTCGGGAATATGGGACAAAGCGGGAACCCCGGGTACCGATCGACCTATTTCTCCAACGTTGCGCCTCTAACCTTTGCATGGTTAAGTAGTACCTGTTGGGTAACAGGGTAAAAGTAATGGCTTAATTCAGTGCTGGACCAGATTCGCGCAAGTTCCGTTGTATTCTAGACACATTCGTAGCTTTGCATACCAAAACGATTGTTTGCTAGGTGACAACTCATCACGTTCTCAAACATCACTGCTTTTGATCCGTGACATGTTGTTCCGCGGAATTCCATATTCCGAGGTTTGAGCCCCGCCACCGCCACCCAGCTTGGGTGGTAGACAGCTTTGTTGTCGTTCGGTTCAATACCACGCCCAACCTAGCGGGTCTTATGTGGTTCGCTACTCCAAGTCCCGGGGCTTAGGTTATCGGTTTCTCTGTCTGAACAGCAGGTGCTCGTGACTATGGGGCTTTCCCCGTCTGCTGTTTATCACACTAAGGTGTGTAACGAAAAAAAGAACTAACCGTTTGGGATGCCGTCCCCCTATTCTCAACCTGGATACGAAGTATACAGCCCTAGTGATCGCGGACTTACAGTGGCCTGCTGCCGACGAATCCGGTTTGATATCGTTTATCGATGGCTCCTGTTTACGGGTTTGATTTCTCTCTGAGGAGGAACACTCTTGAGTCCTTTACAGTAAACAAATTGATCTAGGCAGCGCGTATCTCAATCTCCATCTATGTTCATATGCATTGTTTTGATCGCTTTTATATTGAACTCTTCCCGGGATTTTCGGGTCAAATTTTCCTTTTGCCTTTTTTCATCTAGGCGATCCAAAATCTCCAACACGCGCATCGTTGTCGTGTCCAACCAACCGATATACCTTGGGAACAGGAAAGTAAGCGACGAGATGCTGTTGTAGGCGGTCTTCAACTTCTAGTCCAGACCCTATTGAATGCCGATTCTCTCCTGGCCGATCCTTCCACTGTGAACGGTAGCACAGAAATTGTGCCGGCCGGAACAGAGAGGTCCTCCTTGGAAGAGACCAGTCAGAAAGCATTTATCCGCTCTTCACTGTCCACACTTCGTGTAACCATCCTATCAGTGATGGGTCATTTTAAGGTGAGTGTACGGTGATCCGTTCGGAAGTTTTCAGTCCTCCTAGTCGATATCCTCTGTTTCATAATCTGTCCAAGTTGTATCTCGTTTTCGTCGCGAACTGTTCACATTTCACTCACTGCTCTGATCTCACCCCACCCCGTCCTTTCCAACTGGTACAGCGTGTTTTGGAATCGTTGACAACCTCAGACGCCGTAGTTGAAGTACGTAAGCAACAGGCTGATTTGGAAGAGTTGCTATCTTCAATTGATACTGCACTGGGGGCAACAGCTTGATTGCACAGCTTCATGCCTCGCACGCGCAGGCGCGCGCGCGCCAACTTCTGTCTACTACTGACATGTGATTACAACGAACGACCAGTCCCCTGTTCAGCCACTCATTATTTGATCCCTCCTGTACCATTTCCCCTTTAAATAAATCATCATTGACGAAAATCGCATTTTTACCCTGATTTTATATTTTGTTCGTGTGATGTTTGATGCGAGGCCAATCTAATATAGTTGTCTATGAACTGAAAAAGCTGCTGGTAACAGCAGAAGAGAAATCAACAGAAATGATGGTTATCTCTCTCTTGCCTAGCTACTGCGGACAAATGAAACGAGTAGATGAGTGAGATGGTTCCGTTGCAAAATTGTATGTAGACAGAGCTGTCTCACTTGGTGGTGGCGCAGTGGTTTAGTAGCTATCACCGGCGTGCTGTGGTCCGTGGTTCAAGCCCTGCCACCACCACCAAACTTTGGTGGTAGGTAATTTTTCTGTCACCCGGATCAATACCACGCCTATCGTAATGGGGCCTCATGTGGTTCGCCACTCCCGGTCCCGGGGATTAGGTTGCCAGTTTCCATGTCTGAACAGCAGGTCCTCGGTACTACGGGGCTTTCCTCGTCTGTTGTTCATTACACTAAGGTGTGCAATAACAAGAAAAAATATACACGTTTCTTGTTTGGTACACCTTCACACCTCAATATGTAGTTCCCGCAGCAGGAGAATAGACACACCTAA